AAATATTTAATAGTTATAATATTTATCATTATTAAATATTTAAAATATAATTAAAATGTTATTAAAAATATAAAGTTAATTTAAAATATAATTAAATATTTAAAATATAATTAAATATTTACTAAAAAATATTAAATTTAAATTTAAATGACCTTTTTCTCTCTCTCTCTACATCTCTATAAGAAGCTGAAAACAACAATAAATGATTAAAAATTTTTGCTGCGATGAAAAACGAAAAAAAAAAAAAAAGTTTTAAGTTTTAACAGAAAATACTCAAAATAGTGTTTTTGATATTTTTAAATTAAATTTATATTGCATTCCTGACCCTTTTAAAAATTTGCCCGTCGGTAAACACTGTAAAAACAAGGCACGTATACGTACAGATAAGTTTGATATATAGTAGTTATTTATATATATCTCTGTATGATTTGGCCAGAAATTATTTCGTTCACCTACAAGTGTCAGATATAGATCGAATCGACCTATTAAACCTCCCCGTGGTGCCTCATCTCTTCCAACTGACCATGGAAGGTGGGAGTCTTCACATCTTGATGCTGCCATGGTTTGCCTTCGGCCATCTTCTTCCCTTTCTTGAGCTCGCTAAATCCCTCGCCCGAAAGGGCCACCGTATCTCTTTCCTCAGCACCCCGAGAAATGTAGCAAGACTCCCCGCCATCCCCCCGCCTCTCACTCCCTTCATCAACTTCATCGAAATCCCACTACCTCAAATTGAACGCCTGCCGGAGAACGCCGAGGCGACCATAGACCTCCCTTCCGCGGATCTCCGTCCATATCTAAGTAAAGCTTTTGACACTTTTGAGCGAAAGCTCTCCGATCTCATCCAAAACAAGCAAATAGCGTCTCTGGATTGCATCCTCTTCGACTACGCCGCCCACTGGGTTCCAAACATTGCTGTAAAATTCGGTGTGCCGTGTGCGTTCTTCAGCATTTTTAACGCCGCATTCTTTTCCTTCTTGGGCCCGCCATCCGCACTAATGGGCGGCGCAGGAGCTCGGAAGAAAGCAGAGGAACTCACCCAGTTGCCTCCGTGGATTCCTTTCCCTTCCACAATCGTCTTCCGCTCTTTCGATGCTCCCCAGATGTTCAATGCAGCAGTTCCAGATGCATCTGGTGTATCTGAAATGTATCGGGCTGGGAAATCTATACAGGGATGCCAAATCGTACTCATCCGTAGCTGTAAGGAGTTGGAGCCCGAATGGTTGCAGCTTCTCGGCCACCTTTCTGAGAAGCCGATCGTCCCTGTAGGACTTCTACCACCCTCAATTGAACAAGGACAGCACGCAGCGCTTGAATGGTTAGACAAGCAAGGACGGGGCTCAACTGTGTATGTTGCCTTCGGAAGTGAAGTGAAGCTAAGTGCCGCGCAGGTGAAGGAGATCGCCGTCGGCCTGGAACTGAGCGGGCTGCATTTCGTTTGGGCATTGAGGGCTGGGTCGGTGCCCGCTGGGCTCGTGGAGAGCATAAAGGAGCAGGGCCGTGGGCTGCTTTGCATGGACTGGGTTCCTCAAATTCGTATCTTGGCTCACCCTTCCATAGGGGGTTTCTTGACGCACGCTGGGTGGAGCTCGGTCGTGGAAGGGTTGGCGTTTGGGCTGGCGATGGTACTGCTGCCGATGATAATCGATCAGGGGCTAATTGCCAGAAAACTGGTGGAGAAGGGATTCGGCGTCGAGGTTTTTAGGAAGGAGGATGGGTCGTTCACGGGTGATGAAATTGCGAAGAGCCTGAGGTTCGCAATGGTTGAAGACGAAGGGAAAGTGCTGAGGGAAAAGGCGAAGGAATGCAGGAATTTGTTCGGCGATGAGAAACTGCATGACTTCTATGTGAGTGAATCAATCCAACACCTCAAGCGTCTGGTTGAAGCCGGCTTGTCGGTTTAGAACATTGTGAGTCAAGTTTGGTTTGTAATTTCATATTAAGTGGCCTTTAACATCTGATTGTGCTTTTAAGTTCTTTCTTTTGAGAATATACTGTTTAATCCGTTTGGAATGCAATGCATAGTAACTTAATAAAAAACCGTCCCAAAAGAAGCCTCAGCCTTAGGCCTTGTTTGAGACAGCTTAATTTCGCCTTTTTGATGTGGGGATCGTCTGAAGAATCAGACCTACAAGAAGAAAAAAATCCCAATCCATGAAAAACAACACAATCATAAGCTTTCAGAGCCTCAAAGAGAGTAATATATCATTGATGATGTTTCCTACTACAACATTCTATATATAAGCTAACATGAGAATTTTCTAGAAGCAGGTATAAAACTAGATCTACTATTCATAAGGAATACTATAACTAAAATGCTCCGCATCATTCTCCCATTGCGTCAAAAGACTTCGACTCGGTCAAGGCGCATTATCCGGAGAGAGATAGCGATCCTCCTGAGTTAATCAAGGCTTTGTTCCTCCTATAAAGATCAGAATTCCAATTTATTTCAGCAAAATTAACTCCCAAGATTTATTCTTGATCCTAGTTTGTCACTTCTAACATCTATGTTGCAGGATTGTAACCATCTTTTATCTTGCTTACTCCAGAGGAGTTACGCCCAAGTGGGCCTACATATATCTCCTCTCCACCACGTTTCATTAGGAAAAGCTCATCAAATGCTTTAAAAATATCAATGCTAGGTTGATGAATTGTGCAAACCAATGTTCTGCCTATGTGAACTATGTTCCTAACAGTTCTCATCACAATCACTGCAGCACGGGCATTTTGTCCGGAGGTTGGTTCATCCATGAATATTAGCAACAAGCTCCACAAAAATTGTCCGCTTGCGTTGTCTAGAGGGAGATAGAGATCCTCCTGGGTTGAAAATTTTGTTCTCAATGTTTATTGCAAATTTTTCATAAAGACTTGAAAGTCGTTTTACAGCTATCCATTTTCTATCTTCTGGTCTAACAAATTTGGGATTCCAACCTTCAGTGACATTTCTTCGAACAGCTTGCGAGCATTGCCTTGGATAAGGTTTGTCGGACTGCACATGGATTATTTGCACACCGGTAGACGCTACCATCGCAATGAGAAGCTCCGAGACGCTGAATTGGTTCCCCATAGCTCCAATCAATCTCAGGTGCTGCTTTCTGGCGTGTGAAGTGATCCACTCCTGGAATCATTGATAGTGCTTTAGCAAGCTCTGCGACATATTTGACCTGACCCCCTGTGTCTGAATCATCACTTAGCTCCAGGTTCTTTCCACGGACAAGCCCATGGAAGCTGATGAGAACTATATAAAGCTTCTTCTCCTTGCTTTCCTCGAACCAAATCTGGAAATCGAAAACATTACTCTGGAGCTTCTTCTTTGGTGTCTCATAGTGGAGGCTCTCCGCCACAGTGTCCCTCGTAAGCGGGTGGAGAGTACCTCTAGGAACAGCAATTTTTGAGGGCTCGCTTAAAACGGCATTCTCAAACTCAGATAAGATTTGTCGAACGACCTCAACAAGCCTGGTGATGATATCAGATACCTGATTGTTGAGTTATTCCAATGCACTGGATTGGAAAATAACGGCAACATCGGGAAGTAAATCTTGTTGAACTCCGTATATTTGCCACGATCAATGCAAGCAACATATGCTATGATCGATTATTATTGGTAAACAATACATTATTGACAACGAAAATAAGAGTGTCTCGATCATAATGCAAAGATTTAAAACTTTGTCCGATTATCAAATGGTTCATATCGATGCATTCCGGACATCCAATATACCAACAAGAAGTTGTTCGTATGCGGCAATGTGTTAGTGGATGCGATGCTAGCAAAAACTATCCAATAGCTTACACTTGTTAAACAGGCTTCGTCGATGAGTTTAGAGCATCGAATTTAACCAAAAAAGGATTCCTCGCAATCAAATTGAATGAAAGCGATCGAAATCGACAAACTACGGACATACTCGATGTTCCTCAAACGTCGTCCACTTGGAAAATGAAATTCTACATTATGTTTTGAACGTCGAAAACACTGAGAAATGACTGTGATATTATTTAGATATTTGTACGAGTGAAAATATAAAATTCGGTGTGCAAAAATATAAAATTAGACGACTTATGAGGCGATGACGACAAGTAAATTGCAATGTGCGATAATTGAAAATTTGTCGACAGATAAGATACGACGAGTGAAAAATCATTTAAAAAAAATAATAAAAGAAAAAAAAAAAGGAATAGATTATGTAATATTATTTTTATCTTAAATATGTATGTGTATATTCTAAATTTAAAGATGTTGCCTCACTCCACTCAGCTTATCTCATAATATTATTTGACATATTTAGTTTAAAATATGACATTTAAAAAAAAATATGATTTTATTTCCTGACTTGTACACATTTCCACTTAAATCATGTTGTACTACCTATATTTCTATAAAAAGTTATCATTATATTCATGTACAAAAATATAAATATCTATTAAGATAATTATCTGCTTAAGTTATATATATGAATAACTATTATATTTCAACTTTATCTGTACATCTATATGCCCCTTTTGAAAGATTTTTGCTGAATAATTCTACTACATGTCCCCATGCAAATAAATCCACTATACAAGCCAGCCACTTTGCAAACGTGTCTCTTGCCCCTACTTTGCACCGCCTCTACATGCCTGATGGATAAGAATAAATGAATAATAAAAAATGAGCTTTCATTTCTTTCACATTGATTGATTTTATCTTTCAAGCATAGTTCATTTTTGCATCCAGTGAATAACCCAATCATCTTATCTCCATTCAAGGTGTTGAGACTACATCATGCCACCTGCTCTGTTTTAAAATTCCAACGTGTGCCTTTGCATGTGCATCACCGCCCTCTCATCCCTACTTTTCCTATCTATTCATTCATGCCTCTTTCTTCATTTTGAGTTCTATCTGCTATTGTCTTGCTCTTTTTCTTCTTGGTTCCCAAGCCCGAGCTTCTCATACCCGAGTCTCCCATTCCTCCTTCTTGCCGTGAAACCTTCTATCCCATATCCCATCTCCATCTATACTCAACTATACTATTTCTAACTAACCCCATATAACTCCTCATATCCACTCTATCTCCTGTACTCAACTCCACGGTTTTCTCCATTCAAACCTCACCAAACAGGCAAACATTAACTATTTCTCTTTCTACTTTTTGTTTTCCTCTTTCTATATAAGTATATAAATATATTTCTATAAAAAAAA